AGGTCGTCTACACTTTGCCATCTTTGTAAACGGAGTATGACTTAGTTCGATTCATTAGTTCATTAAAAACCTTATAATCGTCGAGCTTTTCTAAGTATATGAATTTTCGACAAAACATTCACCTTTTTTTAAATTGTAGATGCTTCAACATCGATCACCCCATTAAATAACTGGCTAGTGCGTTAACATGATTTTATTTCAATGAGTTTACGTATGGCTGAATCTATGAATATGTGTTAAATATCTTCCAGATGAACTGTTCGCATAATATCTGATCTTGCCTTCACAAGTAGATGAAATTCGTATATAATAATGTTAAATATACATATTACATATATAGCATTTACTATTTGACAGAACTAATTTTGATTTATGAAATTCTTCTAGTTTCTGATAAAAGAAAATTTGGTCAGCGTTTTTTTGAACATTCTGAAATATTTATGTACATTAGATTCGTCACTTGCGATAATCCAATTCTGATTTACGTAATGTATTGTGATAATAATGTATAAGTATTGTAATACACACTCACTACGAGAATTGATATCGTGAAATATTTTGAGCTTCTCGAATGTAGCTGATCAAGAATGCCATGTTTCTTTTACTAGTGTATAAGCATCTTTTTGTACGATGATTCCTATTTCCTTGATTTCTATTTGTTTATCATAAATGCGTTTCGAAAATTGAATAAAACGAAATATAAGCTAAATTTTTCTTTCAAAGGTTGATCTTTCATATGGTTTAAAAATAACCTTTCACATATTTTATACTAACATTGATTAAGACAAACACGTCAAACTACTTCTAGGCTTTTGTTATCAATTGTTTTCCATAGAAGAAAACTCGTATTTTCATATTGCATAGTAACACAAGCATGAATGCATGGTAACTCTTCGATATTTTTCTCCATTAATTTTATTGTTTTCTAGGCCATCAAAGTATCTAACTTTCTTTATAATTATAAGTTTTGCTTTATCAATTTTTCTAATGAGCATCGAAAATAAATTTTAACTATGCATATAAATTTTTCTTTTGATCATACATTGTTCAATATTAAATTGTGACTTTACATCTGCTAATAAATAAAATTTGCTTACATCTTAACAACAATAGAAAAGATTAGTGATATGTCTGATAGACTTGTTTTTTTTTTCATTGCTATTTGGTATCAATAATTAACGTTATTAATGTGTGGACGAGGTCAAAAACATATGCTTCTAGTTTTGATGAGTCATATTACTTCTAGCTGAATATATGAATTTGCTTTATGATCATACCGTTTGATAAGGTCTACTGTTTAAACTTGTCTAAGTATACAAATGAAAAATTCACTTAGAAATCATTCAATATTAATGAACTATCACAACACATCTACAAATTATATTATAAGAAAGTGTTTTAAAAATAATTTTCTTTTGTTCTTCTTTAGTTTTATTTTTTATGCAAATATCAACAAAATTTAAATTTCTGTTCACGATAAATTCTTTCTAACTTGACAATCGCTTTTGAATTGGGACTCTATGCATCAGCTACATTCCAATGACATATTAAAAGCTCTAAAACGATGAGATTCCCTAGATCATCCTTACAAACCTATAGCCATTTTGCTAAAGTTTTACTTTATAGCTTGATATATGCAAATGAATCAAAAAACGATATTTTGACCTGAAATATTGCTCATAGAAGAGCTAACGTGTAACTAGAATATCCTGATAATTTTTTTTCAAAAAATATTCCGTTCACAAGATATTGATTTCAAAAAATTACTCGCATTCTACGAAAGATTGGAGAATCTCATGTTTTTTTTAGAAATTTCATGTCTTGTGAAGAGAACATTCGTTTGAGCTGAAATTTTCAGAATGTTCTAATTACAAGTTAACATTTTAATAATACGACTCTAACGTTGTATTGAATGCATAGGGGTCCTTATCCTATAGAACGTTTTAAATGTCCCATAGAGGTCTAATTTATGCACACAGTCCTAATCAAAAGTGGTTTTCAAGTTGAGAAGGTTCATTCGTTAGTCTTTATTGGATGACTTTCTTATTTCAATTATGTATACTGAAATCGCGCACTAAAAAGTTGTTTTAAGCATATAATTCGTTGAGAGGTTCGTGATTACATTTCAAGGTTTTACTAAATATATATATTTTTGTTGAATTAGTGCAAAATAAAAAAGTAATATACTTCATAGGTTCGGAAGTCAATTTATTTCTAATTTTTCTAAACAGGAACTTTTAAAAAATCGAGAAATATAAATATATATATCTTGTTGAGGATCTATTATAATTAGCATTAGTACATATTATAGCAACTAGAACACAAGTCGAGTAAACGGACACAAACTTATGATTTAAAAATACAATTTAATTCAGATTTATTATGATTTCAAATTGAAACAAGATCTTCGAATATATTTATTATGCTTTAAATCATACTATTTTACCAATTTTTATCACAAAGTCATTTTTTTTTTAATGGGAATCACACGTTCAAAAATAATATGAAAAGAATGAACATTAAAACCCGACACAGCTGGAATAATCAATAACTGACTCATGTTGAATTCTAAGTAGTATAATAATAAAAGTTATATGCCATCATTTCATGAAATGCTACTTTTGTGTTAATATATATCTTATTTCGTTATAAGCCGTTGAATCATAGCTAATCCTTAGTCGATTGTAAATAGTGCACAAGCAACAATTGTGTATTATTATCAAAACTAACGAAATTATATACGAACACTATTTTTATATTTCTCCAGGGAATGATAATGAAAAATAGTTGAATATGATTTGGCATGATTATTCAATTATGGTGCAAATCAAAGCATTATTATTGACTCATCATCTTGATTAGTTATTGTTCATTGTTCACAAAATTCAATATCTTTTTTGTTTGCATGAGAGAACAATAATTTTTTTTTCATTTGAGTGAATTGAAAGAAAAGCAACGTTAAAAATATGCGGCTTCATTTCATTCTTTTACAGGTTTTTTTTTATCTAAAAGTTATGAGTATTAAAACAAATATGAACTGTCACAGAGAAAATCTTATAGGACATGCATGTTTACAATGAAACAGTCATTTTTAATTAAAACGTCAAAAGTTGTTGTTGTTTAAACTAAATTTGAAACTACTGTTTACTTAAATTGCTACAACAACAACAACAACATTTGTGGAGAAATAATTTTCATTGGAAAATTCTTCTTTTTCGCTCTCATTGGTATCGTCTCTATTATTAGATTCTATATCATGTTCTAGTTCAAAACTAGTTGTGTTGTATTTTAAATGAAATAATTTGATTATTATCAACAAAATTTCAAATGAAGCATTACTTTTCTCTTATATGTGAATTGTAGATTTGATATAGAACTGAATCACATAACTGAAATACTCATGAAGTGCAATATATGTCAGAACTATACCCAAAAAAAGAGTAATTTAGATAAGTACATCCTTCATGTAACTTGTCAGGATTCTGTAAAGCATGAATTTAAGTATGATGTCAAATTGAAAAAAAATTGCCTGAGACAATGTTTAAACTTCAGAATGATATTCAAAATAGTAGTACAGCGTTATCGATGAAGGACTCTATTTGCGTTTGTAAAATGATAATTTGAATTGATCTTTTTCATTTACTTATGAATATACCAATAATAAATCATATTTTTCCCAAGAGCAGGATTTTATTTCATCTATGCGCTGTTCTTTCTATCACGTGTCAGTCACGTTGATATTTGAACATGATTCTAAAAATAGCTAACGGAAAAAAAAAATCTTATCTAGAGATCAACATTACAATTTTAATTATGTTGAGCATTGCCGCCTCCATTCTACTCACAAAGAATGGAAAAGATCAAAAATAGTGTACGTTTTCAGATTACACACCTTCTTCACTCTTACATAGTGTTGTACCAACCAATGGATAAATAGGGTGTGTTACTCTGAAGCAGAACCAAAACACATTGAAAAATTCAAGCATTAAATAGAATCCTTCAGTTTCAGTTAATTTTACATTGTTTATTAACACAATGATAGAATATATGTACTATCTAGCAGTTAACTAGATGAAAATAAATCTAGTGTTTAAAGTTTCATTAGATTGTTGATCTAAAAAGAAAAGCATTCAAAACGTAGTTTGTACTAGAAAAATTTCTGCGATCATTTTAGATATAAATATGAATTCCATTGTGTGAGCGATATTCACATGAAATTTCTTGAAACTGTGAAGCAGATTGACTCTCGTCTTATGGTTTGATAAGCTTAACCGCTCTAATCCTAGTTGTACGAACAAATTCTTTCTTTTTTTTTTGAGATTAAACAGTACATAATTTACATTGCCATTCACCGTAAATGATGATCTACGTTACAGCGTTCACTCGACTATTTCAACTACTTCATTGCTTTCTATCTAAAAAAAAGCTATGCAGCAGTTATGTATTATATTTTTGTATGAATGTTCAAAGAAAAGATTTCTGTAATTTTGATTTAAACAACAACATCAAAATAAATTCGATGAGTTTTAAATAATATTTAAAAGATAATTCTGTGTATTGAAGATATGCGATCAAACCAAAATTCATAATATAGTTTTTATTGAACTTCAAAGAAACATTTTATTGTTCTTTAATTTTCGATTATTAACAACAAAAAACAACATGGCATATACAAATAAACATAAGTGATTGAATTGTTTTTACTTTTCACAAGCATAATTAAATAAGATTTTCTTTTAGTATTATAAAATTTAAACAAAGATCGATTAGAAATGAAACAAAAAAGAAAATAATTCGATCGTGTAATTTTTATACATGAAAAATAAATGTTCGAATAGAGAAATAGAGATTAAACCGAATGAAAAAAAAAAGAGATTCAAGCAACAACAAAAATAATAACCAAATAATACATTTACAATAAACAATATCGGTCTTGTTTTTTTTTTTTTCGAAAAAATACTTTCACCATCGTTATTATCCACCCTGTTTTTGTTATTATCTTATTCACGTTTACCAAATAACATGAGAATATACATAAAGATATAAACAATATCAAGATAGAGCATAATCGATGCAAATACATGATCTTCGGGACTTATCTCATGACGTTTTCCACCTAAAAAAGAAAATGAAACCAATCAACTATTATCTGTTTATGTCACTGAATTCAAATTTACCCAAAATCAATTGAGTATCAACAGCCAAAAACTAATGTAAACAAAAAAAAGAAACAAATAAAATTTTATTTTTTTTTTCATAAAACAAATCTTTCACGTACAATCGAAAAAGCTACAGCTCCAAGAGCAGCATAAACTGTATACAAAATCTAGAAAAAAAAATATTTCAATGAATATTTCTCATTTCTGAAGCTTGTTTTTTTACTACTTACTCTTGAATAAGTAAAAATACAAGCAAAACCAAAACCCACCAATGCCAATGAAATAACAAATAAAACTCCAACACATGATGTAAAGTCAAATTTCGTTTGAAATGAAAATATTGTTACACCAAAACAAACAAAAGATGTTAGACCAACAGCAATAAATACAGATTCAATTTTAAAATATGCTGAAATCATACTCATCTAAATTCAAATAGAAAACAATAACGAGCTTATTTCTTTCGAGATTCATATTCTATAATTATACCATGTAACTCATTGAAAGTGTCTAAGATAAACAAAAATAAATAAATTATTTGATTAAAATGAAACTTATTGTTTTCTAATTACCAAAATACTAAGTAAAATAAGATTAAGTGGATATCGACGTCCAAGACGTTTGCAACAAGCTAATGCAATATATGTTGCAAAAAATACACCATAAGAAGTCCAATATGCCCATTGACCCCTTGGTGATCGTATATAGTTGCGAATTGCAGGTCTAAAGAATAAAATACATTTGTCTTCTTTGACATGTGATAAAAAAAAAAAATATAATAATAAAAAGGAATATTTTAAGTTAAAGAGAAATTCTAGTCTCTTACGAAATTTGAATAATTATGACTGTTTTTTTCAATCAACATAAAAGACTTCGACCTATTCTAGTGTTTTACCTAGAGTGCGGAGCGAAATGGAGACATCTATTCCGAGAGCGATCATTCTGACCGCTGGAGCTTGTATATTAATTGCATTAGTTTTCGTAGCCCAGGCCGACGAGAACTTCACCGGTTTTCCTAAGCTCGTAAAACGGTGAAAATAGTATGAAAAATGCTGAGCGCTGGCTAACAAAGAAAGTTGATGACAGATTAGAGCGAAACATAGTCAAAGCTAATGTAGTAATATGCCGTTTTATAGCTGTTTCGGATCGTTTAGGATGCTGTTCCTAACAGTCGAAGTCATCGTCTTGGACAGCAATTCGTGATCATTTCTCTTATTATTTTCACCATTTTACTAGCTTATGAAAAACGGCGACGTAAACACACCGTTTTATATCGCTTATGACTGTTCACTTTGACTTGCGCTCCAAAGATCAGATTGACTTCTCTGAAGTTCGTGGCAATTGTACGATGCACTATGTATGAATATTGGGAAGAACTAGTGTTCACTTTCCCGAAGTTTTAAATCGTTTTTCCAGTAGATCAAATTCGAATAGACGACTCATTGGTATGTTAAAATCGACTGATTCGAGATTAATTTTTAATCTACATCCATTGAAATTTATTTTTCTTAAAACTAATTATCGATAGATTATTAATTTAGACTGATTTATTTAAATTAATATATTATAACATACGTAAAATGAAATATTGCAATGATACCAAATGTAAACAATAATTGAACCATAAGAATGGCATAGACCTAATACAAAAGTCAATGTTTTTTTTGTTTTCTTTTCTTATTTAAATCATCATCTAACAAACCTTCCGAATAAAACCATGCCGTATTCGTTTAGTTTCAATGCCACTAAATTTACCCCATCCACCGGTTGATTGCGCAGATACTGTATCATATAAATAATCAAAATTACATTAGATAAGATCAATATAAAAATTTTCTTATATACAAAGTGATTTAGATATTAATATTCGCAAGTATTATATGCATTGCTTGTGTATTAGAAACACAAAATTTACAATAGATAGTCTAATCAAATTTTGCTAGAAGATACAATAAAATAGTTTTTCTTGTCTAAAGAAAAATAAAAAGGAATAATTCAAACGTTTTGTATTTTTCTAATTAAAATTTATTGAAATAAATAAATAGAGTTAAATCTTTTGTTTTCTCAAATCAAATCAATTTTATTATATATGAATATTAGTTTAAAGATCTTTTCACACATTGTATTCAATTTCGAACAAATAATTCTATGTTCAAATTCAATTAGAATAAGTCGATAAAAAAGAACCTATCTCTACTATGTATTACGTCGTAAAATAAGTGCTCTATGATTACTTCTAAAGTCTGACGTATGTAAAAAAAAAAAACCAGACAGTTAAAACATTATAACAATATAACATTAGTGAAATTAGTATTTGAATCAACCAGACAGAAAAAACGACTTTTATAAAAAAGAAGAAAACACTAATATCAAATATTAAAAATTGTCAGTTGACACAAAACGTATTTATAATAACTCAAATTTCATTGTTATATATGGATCTTTTAAAGAATAAAAAAAAGGAAAAATCACGTTTTCTAAATAAAAAAAAAATATTGCTGATTAATTTTCTTTAGTGAGAAGCAGATCTACAAAACCTAACTTTGAAAATGTTCATTGCTATTACGATCAAAATATAATCTAATTTTTTCAACGAAGTACACATTCAATCAAAATGGATAATTTCAAGATAATATTGGATTTAAAATGCAAACGAAAATATCAAAAAATAAAATCGATACTCATAAGAACATATATAATAATTGACAAAAATTCATCTAATGATCTTATATAGATAAAATTATTTTGTTTCTTTTTGTGTCTGAAGCTATACATCTTAATATCTGTTTAGCGTATCATAATAGAGTAGTTTGATAACTCACCTGCAGGTGGTAGATTGTGTGGTATAATAGGAGGTGTTTGAAACGACACTTGATTTCGCTCAGAACTGATGGCTGTATTTGGATCAACGTATGGAGGCATATTTTTATCGTCTAGAATAAAAGAAAAAAAGATAATCTTTTGCTTAACAATAAATATCTTCTAGAAATAACAACACGATATTTGATATGAAAAATACAAGCTTTATTATTATATTAAAATTATTCAAAAATAGAAGAAATAATTGATGTTAATTATCTATTAAAGAGAAACTCACCAATTGATTGAAATCTTTTTGAGCTTACATTTTTACTTATAATCATGACTAGAAGAACTATTCAAGAAATTCGCCTCTATAGGTTTGAATGACATAGCAACATTTGTTGTTCAAAAATTGTAAGCATATAAACACAGATTGTTGCACTTGAAATATAGTATCTTATCTATTGATATACTCAAAGATAACAATGTTAGCTAAGTTTTATTGGATTCAAATGAAATGAAACACGGAAATGTTTTAGTGTTGACGACGTAACTTTATCTGATGATGTAACTTCTATGAAAAAAAGTCGTTCAGTATGCAAAATTTTACAACATTGAAATTTAAAAGATTTTCATCTCTTGTAATTTTCTACATTTTCATGACTTTTTTTTGGTTTTTACATTCTACAAATTTTGTTTTTTTTAAGTGTGATTTTATTATTAATATAGACATACTAATGCATGTTTTTCTCGATAAAATAATTTGAAAATAAAAAGTAACTATGACCAATGATGGTAACGTTCTACAATTTTATTTAATTTTGTTTTAAAAGCGACAAGTACTAATGAAATCATAGTTAACTATGAATCTTTAAAAAAAAAAGATACAATCTTGCAATTCGAGTTCAACAAGACATGTTTATCTGCTTACTATTCTAAAGATAACATGTTCATGTCTCAATCAACTACACTCATGAGAACAAATCCTTGAAGAATTTTCTTTTTTTTTTTTTTATTGTATAATCGTATCTACTCTTCATTACAGATAAAATATGAGATCAAAACTTTTTTATCATTTGATTAAGTTTTCTTATTATCAAAAAAAAAGTTCGCTGTAGATCGAACAGTAGTATAAGAAGCGAGATAACTAATTCTTTGATGGCACACTTAGTTTTATAACAAATAAAAACTCTGTTGTTAACATCGTATACTTTGAAAATTATTGGTAATCATAAATCTTGATTCAAAAACGAAATGCTTTTTATCAGTTTCAACTATATTAGAACACAATACAGTATTCAAACAGACCTATTTTACTATATTCCGATTTTACCCTTTATTTTAAACTTTAGATATGTAAATTTATAGGCTTTGCAATCAAAAGGTTAAGGACAAGAGAAAAACTATATAAAACAATAAAAAATAAAAGAAAACTATATACCAAGTGTTGATGACTGTTGTGTATAACTATTCGATTGTGGTGGATATTGTCCATAGAAACCTGGTTGTTGAGGTGAATACGATGAATAAGTACCTTGTTGTGATGGATAATACATATTTGGATCTTGACTCATTATTTACGTCTATTAATCGACTTGAAGAAATAATCTGATTTTGATATTTTAATAATAAGAATACTTTTAACTTACAATAAAACTAAAAAAATAAAAAAAAAATAAAAATTTTAAAATAATATAAGAAAAAGATTTTGATTATTAGTTCTTTGCACAAAAACTCTACAACCAATATATAAGTTATGAAAAAATACAAAAAACTTAATGCTGTTAGAAAAAGTATTCCTGATTTTTTCGCATCGTTAGTATTACATTATCAGCACTTTAAAATATGTAGGCGGTAGTCGTCAAATGCTAAAATTAATAATATTATTGTTCTTTTTTTTCTCTCTCTTTCTATTACCAGGTTTTTTTCTAATATACAGATGCTCTATGAGAGTAGCGCGTCACTTCAGCATAGTTTTTGCTTGGTCATACTCTTTGAATAAAAAATTTAGTTAGAAAGAAAGAAAGAAAGAAAAAAAGACACGAGAAAAATCTTATAATAATAAACTGCTAGAAGGATAAATGAACACTTCTTTCTTCTAATTATAAGTGAATGCATTTCTTATCAGTGACATATATGTTATAAATACTTGAATCAATGAATAAATCCAAAATATTTTTACATAAAAAAGAAATATTACTATCATCTGTTCATTAACAATATCGATATAATTTCGTTATTCTGTCAAGAATTATTTTAATGAAAATTCTAGAGAGCAACAAAAACAAAATGTTTTTCCTGTCTAAAATATATGTCGAAAGAAATTTGTTTTCATCAAAAAGGAAGTGTCTCATTCGATTATAAGTTAAATTTAGATTGTTTTTGAAATCTACATTGTCGCATAAGACTAATTAATTCGAAAGTGTGAATTGAAGAATGGATGCATGATCGAAACAGTAGGATAAGTTCAATGTGACTCATCGAGAGTTTTACAGCACACCGTTGCTCTTGTTCTCACAGTTTTATCCTTATTATGAGTAAACAAAAGTAGCTTACAGTTCAATTTTTATTACAGTTTTAGAAGGACGTAATAATATATTTGAAATTGAATCATCAGATATACAATGAATAATTCCTCGATAGTTGATCGAAAGATTTATGTGTTATAACAATGCTATTCATTATATGACGGCGACATCTAATGACTAGAATTGAAACTCATGATACTAACATTTAAAGCATTCTATCAATCTTTAATGTAGTGACGGATCCAGAACACTTGCGTTCTTCTTGTTTTAGGCAAGCTGCAGTAAGTGGCACCCTTGCTATGTGTGTTGTGCTATCAATCATGAAGGATACCCTAGTCGAGAATCTCTAAACGAATCCCTGGGGAATCCCAACAGGGGTACCTATGGATTTACGAGGGAGTCAAGAAGTTTCCAGGGATTGATATGGGAGTTCTTGGAGATTTGCTAGGAAATTTCTGAGGATTTGCCAGGAACTCTCCAGAAATATACCATGAGACTTATGACGACTGCAAACGATCGAACACGACGTTCTTATCATAATATCCATCCCTAGTAAAATCTCATTATAAAATCCTCTGGAAGTCCCTGGGGAATCATGACATAGATTCTACCAGGGACCAAGGGTGAGTGTGAGACTCCCAGGGAGTCGTTTAGAGATTCTCAACTAGGGTATTTATAAACTAGCAGCACTCTTCCTTACTCTTTTCAGAACAAGAGAGAATCTAGTATTCTAGTTTCGCTGTTAACTACTATTATCTTGTTAATATATACATTGTAACCATTTGTAAAATAAAGGATATGTACGGTCGTTATCGATCGGTTAGATTGAATTCGTTATTATTAAAATATTTTATATAATTTTTATTATTTATTAAATTCTTCTTATTAAATATGTTGGCGTTTTTGTCAAAAATTTTTCTCACACTATGCGAACAAGAGGGAAGAAAAAGCACTACGTACAGCTAAAAAAGAAAAGTATCAACTTAGACGACATCATATCGGTGATTTAGCATGTTGGTGCACATTTTTCACTAAGAAGTAGCTGTTTACATGATTTATGTAATAGTAAGTATTTGTATTTAATTGTTACTGGTATTATTGGTCTTAGTGTTGTTATAAAGTGATTAAAATTTCATTTAATGTCACCTGAGAAAAGTCAACTCCTGAGATTTTATTGCTTATTATCTATTCGAAATAGGTTTGTCATTCAGTTTCTGTTTGTTACATAGGGTAGTCAAAAATTTCTGCAACTTTCAAATATTTATTCATAGACAAAATATTTTGCTAATCTTTTTACAGTAAATGTTCGAAGTAGTTCCTATGATGTTCAATACAAAGTTTCATCCTTTCAATCCATTTCTGAAATGTCTTTTGGTATTCGTGAATAGGTATTGAATTGAGCTACTTGGATAACGCTTTAGCTAAACTGGTATCATCTGGATAAGTATCAAGGCTACGTTTCAGATAACTGAACAACCAAAAATCTGAAGGAGCAAAGGCAGGTGAGTATAGTGGATGAGCCATAACTTTGATTTTTTCTTCTTGAAGATAATTAAGAACAATATCATTCACATGGGGTCGTGCATTATCATGATGCAGCTTAACGTGATTTGCTGTTGATGATGGTCTTTTCTTATATAAATTTTTGATTAGCTTTTTTAAACATTCATCACGATAATAAATAGCCTTAATTGATGTTCCAGAAGGTAATTCATGAATAAGTAATGGTCCAGATCTTTAACTGCATCAATATTTTGTTGAATGATGGCGGATAATGGACGACCACGTCGAGGATTATCTTCCAAAGATTCTCGTTCATTTGAAAATCGTTGAATCCATCGAGTAACTGTACAATATGAAACTACATCCTGTCCATATGCAGTAGCTAATTTATCAGGAATTTGTGTAGCTGTTAAACCTAATAAGCAACGAGTTTTTATATATGAGCGTATATACTGTTTTTCCATCTGAAAACAGGGGTGTTCAAAAAATTCGTTGAAAATTTGCCATAATAGACAGTTGTGGAACTTCGTATTGGTATTTGAATACATAAGAGATGTCACTATCAGAATAGGCCAACATAAGGAATAAAACCAATTAGGATGAAATTTTAGACACCTGTTTGCAGAACTTTTTGACTACCCTATGTATAAATATGTATTTACAACTGTATTTATAGATCAATCAATATCGAAAATTATTGAACTGAAGCCATTACGTTATTTGAGAGATAAGTGAGAAAAAGATTTTTTTTTAATTTATTGTTTTATAATTTGATTAAAGAGGGATACCCCGAATTTGCTTCCTTTTTCGTCCCCATCGACTCGTCCCTTCTTAATTGATTCCGAATTCGTCCCCGGTCTGAATTTGTGTCTAGAAAACCCTTTTGAATTTATCTCCCCTCCTTCAAGATTCATCCTCAGCAAAATTAACGTTTATTTCTTATGCAGATGCATTATTAATGTACTTTTAGTAAGGATGAAAGACGATTTTTATCACAACATCAAAAAACAAACATACAATTTTTCTTTTGCAAGAATAAGAAAAAATTCTGAGTTAATATCAGAAGACAACTTATTATTTGACATACTTAGTCTTAACAGCTAGCCTACATTTTATTGCCAAATACATCCCACTGATTTATCTCTCAGCGAACTGGTTAAGAAATTGCTCAAGCAGCAAGTCTACATCAGTATTTATTTTTCTTCTCTTGCTCTTGTTTTTTCATTTCATCAATTGTTTGAGCAATGGCAAGTTTATGTACCTCAGGTATACAAGTTAAAACATGTTCATTTGATTCACGAGAAACCACAGTAGTATCATGAAAGAGAAAAAGTGTGATTGAACAACTCCGTGAACGACGCCGTAGTTTAGTATTGTTATCCGCACACGTTTCTGTGTGTATTGAAAACTATTATAGTTCAATAACTTTTCTTACCGCTCAGTGGAAGTAAAATAAAGCATATTTCAATGTGATTTTAAGCAATAAATGTTAGTTAAAAAAGCATACCGATGACATTGCTCTTCTTATTCATTCATAATAAGTGTTCCTCTCATCGACTACATATATTGGTTTACTCTCGATTCGTCCCTAATTGCCCTCACCCGCAGTTGCCGTGTGTGTGATGTTTCTTTGAAATTAGAGACGAATTTTTCTAATCAGGGACGAATCGAGAGGATCCCCATATATTCAACTAAAAGAATCATATTGTGGATGTTGCTAATCATTAATATAAACGGACGGAATGATGAATATTTCACTGTTACATATAGTGGAGACGAATTCGGAATCAGAATTTGATAAAAAATTTTTGAGAGAGGACGAATTAGAAACAATTTTTTACGTGTTTTAAACGATGGGGACGAGTTCGGAATCATTTTTTGGGGGTCCAGTTCAGACAATTAAAAAGGAGAGGAAAATCCATTTGAATATAGCATTTAGAGAAAAACGATTTTGTACTCTCGAACTAAATTAATTTTTGTTGAAGAAAAAAAGATAAATCGTTCTTCTGGAATCAAAATAAAAGTGGTGAAAAGATCATTTGAATTAATCTCTATCATGAACCATAGTTCATTCCCATTTTCCTTGAAATTAACTCAAAAAAACAAAGAAAATATTACATTATTAGACGAAAAAGATGTACGATAACATACTGAAGCTCTTTAATTGGAAAGTGGACGAGTTATTCATCTCTATTTATTAACAAGAAGCGGCTACTAGAGATTTATTTTTTATGGATTTATTGGGTTTTTAAAAAATTCCTGGATATTTTTTCACTATCGTTTATTCTATAATTTATTATGTCTTTTCATTGGATTAATCGGCACACATCTCATTATCAGTTATTCCTTTGTTGACCAATCTTTTTCCTCAACATTTATTCTATGAAAATTATTCTGTTACGAACCTTATTTTCATCTATGTTGCTACGATAAAATAACACTATAGCGAATCAATCTCTTTCTAGCGGATGTATTCCAGATACAATCAGATCTTAGAAAATGTTTTACATTTAACTTCTTAATATGAATTGATTCCTCAGTGAATCGAGTCTGTTTTCTTCGAATTTATTCGACCATAAACGAGATCAGGCCTTACTGTGCAGTAACAGAACGAATAGAGAACATTTGAAAAGAGTATATTTGAAAGAAAGAAAGAAAAGATAAGTGTGACAGGACAAATGGAGTCATCTATCATCTATATGTCTTTCTAGGTTTAACAGTTTAATGTAAACAAAAATACTTTTTCTCTACTGAAAAACTTGACTGTATAACCTATGTATCACCGTCTGCAACGGGTTAAGAAGAAAATAAATCTTAGAATTTTAAAAACCATTCAAATAAATCTTGGGACTCACAAAGAATCCAAAAAATTCCGAAAAAGAAGTAAATCTCTGGATTTATTAAAAAATCTCAAAAAAAGTGCTGAAAGCGGCTGTATTTCAATAGATCTAAAACAAACAAATCTTATTCTTCTTTACTCATTCAATTTTATTTAATCCGAAAAGGATCAATGTTGACATCCGAATTCCTCACGTTCTTGTGTTTTTACAATGCATTGATCAAGTCAATATTAATATATTCAAATTCCTTTTCACTATGAGAATAGAATGTTTTTCTCAGCTGATACAAAGCAAAGTGCATTTTTAATACGATAGAATCTCATGTATCGCTTACTTTAGAGATCGAGATGTTATAGTGCTACTATATTCATTTGACTCATCACAAAGCACAGATAAAAAACTACTATTTATCAGTGGAAATTCTAGATTAATCGGATTTTTTTCATACATTAAATTACTTATTTCATTTTATTTCATCTTCATTGTTAGAACTAATTATACGATAAAGGATCATCTAGAATGAATATTGAATCGACAATCGCTTTTTCGAGATATCCCTTAAACACAACGGACAGAGAGTAGAAGGTAAGGAAAAGTAACGAGGTCATTTTTTCTAAAAATTATTGGCTTGGTGGGTATCCAGATCAATAACTGATGGATTGGTTACGCAGTCCATAAATGTCAAAAGAAAATCCAATAGATACATCAAATTGATGGATTTCAATAAATGTCTGTCTTATCACTTTAGTAGTCGATCATTGAAAAATAAAACATAGGTTTTATTACGTTACCTTGTCCATCCTATCATATGATATTCTATAGAAAAATCAACAACAAATCTACTGGTGTCACCAGTGTTTTTCTTATAGACACTTTTTTTCTATGTATTAAGGATTGACAAACGTTTAACTTTGATCATTTTCACTAGTAATAAGCAGCTAATTTATATATTCAACAAAAAATATCTGACAACAAAAGATGACTAGGTATAGAGAAGTCTATTTCGTCGAAAATGTTCAGTATTGATTATTCCATGACGAACCACAATAGATGAATTACATGCTTCAAGAAATCATTATCGAATGAAATACAACTATTCGCTTGGATGACATGATCTAAATAAACAACATAATAGAAAATTTTTTGATATCAAATGGCTACATAATCTCTTACAAATTTCCTTTAATATTTGTTTTGCAAATCATTTTTTTGCATTGGATTCATTTAGATTTTCTTTTAATTGTTCTTCGATTGTACGTAAATTATTTTCACTAATACAAATATTTGCGAAAATTTTCGCTAAACGTGTAAGATTTTCTTCAATTGTAATTTCACCAATAGTATTGAACACTTCCACCATCACTTTCTGGCCTTCCAAAATTTGATCAGCCATTGCTTGTT